TGTACCTTCCCTCCATTCTTCTCTACATCACAGCCAAAATGATTTTTTGAAAGTACAAACCGTTTTTCCTCTCTTCCCTGCTGATTTTAAGTAGCACTTAAACGAGTGTTCACCTCCTTACCCTGGCGTTTGCAGGCCCCCCGAGCCGTCCCCTGCCCACCTCTGACCCTCTCCCCTGCTCCAGGTGGCCCAGCCCCTGCACTGCTCCTCCGGGTCCTCCTCCACGGTGGGCTCTTGTTGTGTCACTCAGATGCCACTCTCACTCTCTGAGTAGCCCCACCTTAGGAACCCTCCATCAAATCACCCTCTTTGACCTTCTTCATCACATTTATTGTCAGTTGATACATGTTGTCGTGTTTTGTTTCATGTACGGTAAGCCCCGAAGGGCAGGGTCTGGTTCACCACCCTGCCACCAGTGGGGTGCTAGAAGAGCATCTGTCCCAGAGCAGGCGCTGAGCCATTGCACTGTCTAAATGCACATCCCACTAGCTGTCAGGCAGCCATGGCTTTGTTTTGGAACCTAGTAAGATTGGCATTAACCACCCAGAAAGGAAGGGTATGACAAGTCAGAATGACATCTCCACCTAGGCATCATTTTCAGACAGCAAAGTTGGTTAAAATGCCTGTTGCAAAGAGGTCAGCTGCACAGCAAAGAATCGCTGCCTTTCCTCTGAGCCATGGACTCCAGGGCACAGTCCAGCATTTCAGGATCAGTGTCACCAGTCGGCACTCAAGGCCTTTAACATTGCTTCCCTCTATTCCTATAACTGATCGCACTAGGTTCCCTGGCAGTGTTCGCCATCAGCAGTGCGTCTCTCCAACACTGCTGAGGTAGAGGCCAGCAGGTTTGGGGGGAGGGAGCAACGCAGAGAAAATGAGAGGAATACGGGCTTGGTCTCGGCTGCTGCTGGCAATCAAATTGAAGGTCGTGGAGCTCGATGATTGGAGACCAGGTGTGCTTGTGATTTGGAGAGGCGTGAAGGAGAGAGAAAATAATTTTCTTTCTCCAAAGAATCTATCTCCGTGACTCCCAAGAGTCACTCTTTCAGAACGAGCACAATCTTGAGGTGAGATGGGAGGAAAGCAGTGGACAAGAAAATTAAAATCACCACCCTTTCACTTGGGCCCTCGAGGTGTTTGCGAGTCATCCCCTTGCACAGGGCTTGTGTGATGTTGAGCAGATTGCTTCTTTCACTTGCACTTCTCAGGGCAAAGAAGTGCACCTCCTAGTACTTCCATCACAGAGCTTTATTCCAGCCTCAGACGGCCTGCGCTGCCTGTGGCTTTCTGGTGTTGGTCCACTTTCCTTCTCAGGTTTATGCTGCACAGAACGCCTGCTGGCTCTGCTGGGGGCATAGTGATAACGCAGCCCTGAAACGTCCTCTGTTATGTGCCTGCTTCGGATTTCCCTGCACCTCCCTGTGCTCTTTCTTTTCCTGACCAGTGGGCAGGACACCTCTCATGGGCAGTTGTGACTGTTTGGTGGAGCTTTTGGGGATCAGCTGCCCCACAGAACTCTGCCTTCTTGTGGGGATGGATGGGCGTCCTTTCACTTGCAGCCTGGTTTCCCAGAAGTAGGTACTAACGTTCTCTAGAAGCATTTTCTACCCTTCTCGTCCTCTTCTTCTATTTTTCCTTCCCTCCACATTGGCCTAGATCTCAAGAAAATTGGTGGCAGAAAAGTAATTTGGGTTGCAGGATCAAAAAGATGACCGAGCCTATTGTGTCTAACCTGGTTCTGAAAGGGAAAGCTTAGAAAATCCCTTAGGTTTTGGTGCTATTAGCATATTTTATTAATGACAGTGAAGAGCTGCAGCCTCTTAAATGGGCCACATAAGGCAGTAGTGGTGGGAAGGGATGATCCCCTCTGCCCTTCTCAGTAGACTGGGCTGAATCAGTCTGGGTCCCCAGGAGTGCTGGGCACAGACCAGAAAAGAAGCCTTGCACTTGTCAGCTGGTGGTTCTCTTCTGGGACTGTAACCCGCTTAAGGTGCCTGAAAACTTTCTGAGGCTCAGTTTAAATAGGTCGTCCACTTGGGCCACCTTGGAGGAGGCAGCCTTCCCCACAAGCCCTTCCTCTTTCTGGGGCATTTGGTCTCTTGGTCCCTGTTCCAGCTGTCCCAGTTTCTGAGGCTTTATAGTGATACAGTCAGGTCAGAAATGGGAAGCAAGAACCGCACAACACTCATAGGCATTTTTGGTTTTATTGTTTACAAAGTACTTCTCACAGTTTCATTGTACTGTCAGAGGGGTGTTGTAATTTTTATTCCTGTTTTACAGAGAAGAAAAATAAAGTATCTTGCCCACAGTCACACACATAGTAAATGTCAGAGCCACCCTCATCCTTGGCACCTTTTCTGTCTTGAGGGTGGGAGGAGGATGTCGAGTAGAAGTGTTGTTCCTGGTCAGCTCTTGGCCGCAAACCAAAGCCATCACAAGGATCCTGTTAGCAGCTGCAGATGCTGTGAACGGGGGAATGAAGTCGCCAAACCTGCCTTGATGGCCTTTGTCTGGGTTGCCCTTGAGAATTGCATTCTGCATATGTGCCCCTCTTTGCTGCCTGAGGCGTTCTCTAAACCTGAACTCTGCCTGCACCTGCTTGTTTAGCACCCAGCGTGGCTTCGCTCTTGATAGTCTCAAAGTCAGCTGGACCCGGCACCAGCACCGCTTCCGGGAACCTGGAAGGCATTATTCATGCTCAGTGAGCATCTTAATTTAAGTATCACTTCCTCTTCTTTAAAGGAAAGTCAAGAAGACAGACCACAAATGCTCAAAGCCACATACTTCCTCTTCTTTCCGCCCCCAGGCCCGCTCTCTCAGGTATCCCTGGGTAATGGCTCTCTTGAAACATGCCCTAAAGTTGTCTTGAACCATGGCTCCCGCATTTGTTCTTTGGGAACTTCCAGAGAGGCAGTTAAAGCGCAGGCTGTCAGAACACTGATCTCCGTCGTGGTCTTCACCAGGGCCTGTGGGCTGGGGTGGGGAGGGGTGACGGTTGTAGTGTGACAAAGCCCGTCAGTGATCTCGGTTAACAGTCCCCACTGGGGAATCATGGGTCCCTTGGTGGTAGACAGAAGATGAATTTGTTCTGTCATGTGTCTACTTACTGGCCACAGTCTCTCCTGCTTTCACACTTTATCAAAAGGGGTCCACAGTGTCTGTGGCTTCCCCATCTGCCGGGGAATCTGAAATTGAAATTTAACCAGGCATCCTGTATTTCATTTGCGAAATTTGATGACCTGACCTTGAGGGCTTATGTCAAGCCTACAAGCAGGCCCTGCCCTTGTGTTTCCAGCCATTCTGGCCCCTCCTTGGCAATTTTGACACAGCAGCTGAGTTCCTGATCCCAGACCAGGTGGTAGCTAGTAGTTGCTGATAACGTGCGTCGAGAGAGCTGACTGTTCCCCTTGGATTGATTGTCCTCAGAGCCCTGACAGAAGCTGGCTTCCCGAAATGATGGTGACAACTCTGCCATTTTATTGAGCACCTGCTCTGTGCTAGGCATAATATGTACACTATTGCATTTAATCCCCACAACAGCCCTTCAGAGTAGGGATGATTAAGGATGATTACCTTTTTTTGGGGGGCGGGCAAATTAGGAAACAGAATTAGCAAGGTTACGTGGCTTACCCAGAGACACAGCTAGCAAGCCGCAGGGTCGGGATTCAAGCTGAGAGCTGCCACCCTGTCCGTAGTGAGGTATAGGGTTAGTGGCCGCAGGCCTGGCTGGAGAGCGGATGGGCTGGACTGGGTTGCTCCTCACAGGGTGCTGTGGGCAGGCAAGCGAGGCTCTGAACTCAGCAAAGGAACACAGGGTCCTGAACCTGCTAACGTTCTCACCCTAAACGTAATGACCTTGTAATGACAGATGCATATTTTCCACAGTGCAACAAAGGAAAGATTAGTGCAGAGATTCAATTCTGCCTCCCGTTTTCAGTGGCAGTTTTGCTCTCTCAACAGATTAATTAGCAGCAGAGATCCCCTCCCCCCAGGCAAGCAGCAGCACAGTTCAGGCCAGAAGGTGCACGAAAATGCAGCTGTGTCTCATTCAGCGGCCAGCCTTCTCCTCGCAGTGCCTGCTGCTTCAGCCCTGTGCTTCCTTCTCACCCTGCCTGGGAGGCCGACGGAAGCCTTGTCTGCTGAGCCTGGCCAAGATGAGGGGCAAACCACCAGCTTTTAGGGGACCCTGTGTGTGAGCCGTGGATGGCAGAGGTGCTTGACCTCGTTCCCTTGGAGGAATTTAAGGAAAGGCCTCTTCTGTCGTCCTCGCAGAAGCACCCTGGCTGCATCTGGGTGGAGGACACAAGGAGAGGTGGTGGGAAGGGTGAGGGGAAGGAAGGAGCTGCAGGTAAATACCTTTGACGGTGAGCGCTCTGCGCACCTCAGCCCACTTCACCTTCCCTGCAGCCCCAGGAGGTAGTTCTTACTGGGTTTCTTCCATTTGTAGAGGCACCTTTTCCCACATTTTGATGCGTGTGTGCAGGGTACATAGCTTTCTCTCCCCACCAACTCAGCGCACCGCCAAGGCCAGGAAATGTGGTGTCACTATTTTGCTGCTGAGAAAAGCGACGCTCCTTGACCAGCATGGTCTGCTAATGTCTAACCAAGCCAGGCTCTGAACCTGGGCTGGAGGGAGCCCCCATTCTTTCCTTAAAACCTGGTTACAAAATTGCAACATTTTCTTGCCTTCAGCCTCTAATGTACTTCCCCTTGGTAAGTTGTTGGTTTCTCTTTTTCATTCTATTTTCACTCACATCTGAACCAGAAACGTGCTTGTTTAGACTAAATGGGAGTGGTCTGGATGTTCCTGAAATAGTCGTGTTGTCCACTCTGGGCACCACCTGTGGTCATCCGTTTATGTTTGCTGTAACCCGATAATCCCACAGGCCAAGTGGACCCCTTTACACCGGGGTGAGGGATGCGGGGGACAGGACAGGACAGTGCAGGGGAGGCATTTTCTTTTACTGCATCTGCTGACAGATACCTTCATTTTCTTCCAGGTACATTGAACGGAAAGCTTTTCTAGACCGAGTGGATCACAGGCAGTTTGAAATTGAGCGAGATCTCAGGCTGAGCAAAATGAAACCCTGATGTGATGAGGAACCTACAGCAGCTTAATCCTGTTTACAACGTGAGCTTTTTGTGCGTCTTTGAAATGTTTCCCGTGTTTCCCATTGACTGTTTCCCAGCAAGGTCTTTTTTTCTACATTGAATTTCTGTCTTTGTATCTTGATCTCATGTGATTTCATTCATTTTACTTTTAATAGTTTGTCTTTTAAAAAATAAAAATTAAAAAGTACAGGTTGGTCCTGTGAGAGGCTGGTGAAGATGACAGCACTCACCTTTCCTTTGTTCTGCTACAAAGTCCACCAGGCCAAGCCAGCACCTCCCAGGCCTGTCCTGGCCACCATGGTGGAGAGAGTGACCAGCCTGCACACACGTGAACCCCCAGAGGCTGTAGGGCTCCCTGTGAAGAGGCTCGCCAGTGTTGGTGGAACACCAAGTCCCTGGGCAGCTCTGTTCTCAGTTCCACTCCTGCTTCTCTCCTGATCTCTTTCTCTCTCCTGAATGGGATTCCTATTTGCTGGTATAATGTGAGGCTGAAAATAAGGATACACTATTACTGCATTAGGGATTTTTCTTTTCCTTCAGCCATTTTCATGTTCTCAAAGTCAACTTCACGTGTGCTCTCACCTCAGTAATGCTTTAATTTTTGGTTTGTCAAAGAAGACTCCAAAGGACTTTTTTTTTTAACTCTTTAGGAAAATTTAAATTCCAAACTTCATATTAATAAAGCAGTAAACAGCACATCCTGCCCCTGTGGGCTGGTGGTGGGGATGTCCTGAGTAACACGGACAGGTTTGGGGGAGGTAGGGTTCCAAAGACTGGAATTCAGAATCCTGCCTGGACATCCGCCAGCTCTGTGACCTTGAGCACAGTTCAGCTTTCTGAACCTTCATTTTCTGGTCTGTAAGTGGCCTGAGTAATACCAGAACCTCACAGGGTCGAGATGAGCCAGTGACATGTGCAGGGAACACGCACAGGTCTCCCCCTCCAGTCCTCTAATATGTGGGCAGAACCTCATGCAGCCAAGACCTGATTGTCAGCCCTGCATGGCCGTGAGGTTATGACCCTCATTACTCACTGAGGCCAGGCTGGGTGGTCGGGCTGATTGAGGTGTGTGCATCTTCAGTTGAGAATCATCTTTTCTGTCAGAGTCTTCTTTGAACCATAGCCCACAGTTTTTAAGAACAGGTGGATAATATTTTATCTAGCTCTTCACATCCACACTTAGTGAAAACTAATCTGCCTGACTCCCAAAGGAAGTGACATCTCTTTATCTAGGAGTCGGGAATTGCCAAGGAAAATGTTTGCAGGAAGTGGGGGCCTGAGTCAGCGCCGGGAGGCAGCTCGGTAGCCCTTTGCCGGGCACCGTGCGCCTCCCTTGTCCGTGGCATGGATGACTGAGGAGGGCAGCCAAGGATACTTCCTGCTGGTCTGTGGAGTCCAGAGAATCCCTGAGAGATGAGTTTCCTGGCCTTGCTCCTGCCATCAGTCTTTGTCTTCTTGTCCCAGATAAACGCATCACATTTCCAGAGCATCTGTTACCTTCCCATTACTGAAAAAAACTGCCCTAAAACAGCATAAGGTCAAAGAATAAAAACAGCCTTCTCTATGTGTTCTGTTCACCTATTTCCCAAGGAACACAGTCCTCTAATTAGGAGCGCTGCATGAGGTCCCTAGGGGAGAAAGGCCGCATTAAGAGCTAAGTCTTGAGTGAGGCGTGCGCCACTGGGGCTGAGGACGGGAACAGGACTAGGAGCCCAGGGCCCGATTTCATGAGAACTGACAGGTCCAGCAGGCCAGCTGGTAGCTGCTGCTGCAGGAGGGTGCAGAAAACCTCCCTAGAGAAGAGTGGCGTGATGGTGCTGCTGGTAGCCAGGCAGGGACCAGGAAGGCCAGGTGACAGGGCTCTCCAGGTGCTGTGCTGCCTCTTGGCCTCAGCAGGACAGAGGAGGTGTGTGCGGCGTGGCTCTCTGGAGTGCGTCTTCTTCTGGTATTTGGTATCAGTCTTTAGCCAGAACTGGAATTGCTCAGGCATGTTGGGTAAGAGTCCATGACTCTTTTTTTTTTTTTAATTACCAAAAAACCAGTAAACAGATAGGAATTGGTGTAAGATGGTGGACTCCTGGGGAAGGATTCAGAAGCTCTTAGCTTCATCAATAAATGATGCAGTGGTTCCATGTGCCTAGTGCTTCCTCACAAGTTATCTGACCAGAAGAGGAAACTTGCCTGAGGTCAGACTGCGGAACTGCCGGCGGTCACACCTATGTCTTATGCCTAGAGGACAGAAGGCAGGGGGCCCTGCCGGCGAGATGAAACAGCCTCTCATCGCCTTCTGGATCCCAGCTCCTAGTTGAAGGATTCACGTTGGAAAGGAAAGATTTGAGTGCAAGGGGACAGAGCAGCCAAAGATGAAGAGATGCTTCCAGTTGAGAAGAATGGCAGCTGGCACACTCTGGTGCCAGAAGCTTGTGTCAGAAGTACACCAAAGGCTTGGGCACACTGGCTTCAGCTTCCAGTCCTTTGTGCCGTGGGGCGGCATCTGAACCTCTCTTTGGGGAAGAGTGTGCTGCCTCACCTAGACACACTCAGGCCTTGGGCAGACAAGCCGGTGGGGAGGCATAAGGCCTGCCCCAGAACCAAGTTTCTGTGCTACACGGTGTAGGCAGTGTTGCCCTCTCCTCTTTGGGATGCTGCCTTGTTTCAGCAAGTGAGGGGAGGAGGGGCTGGTGCCCAGGTGACAGTACCTCGGAGAGTCGAGGTATCTTAAATGCCATCCCACTGCACCTCCTTCCTTGGGCACACAGGTGTACCCAGGGTTCCTGCTTCAGGCTTTCCTGCAAAGTCTTTCCTTTTTTTCTGCAGCTTTTTTTTCATGCCCTCTTAAGGCAACTTAGATCCAACAGGACCACCAGATGCAATCTTTGTGCACACAAAGTTGACCACAGAGGGAAAGTGGGCTGTGGAAGTCTGGAAGATTCCACCCTGGTTCCCTGCAGCCTGGAATTGCCCAGTCCCCAGAGACTCTCCTTTCCAGAGTCCCTCTCCATGGTCTGCTGGTGAGCTTTCATTGTTGTACCCTCAGAAAGCTGATGGTGTAGACAGATCTCCACTCAAGTAAGGGAAAAGGTGGCTGTGTCAGGGAGGGAAGGGAGAAATGTAACATGAGGAGAACACTGGCAACATCTTACAGTGGGTTTGGCGTCCTGCCTCTAACCTTAGATTGTAGCCCTGCCATCCGGGTTGAGTCCCTCCCTCTGTGTCTCAGATTCCTTGTCTTCAAAAGGTTTCTGAGAATGCTTAATAATCCTGCTCTGCCTACCTCACAGTATTTTGTTAAATGAAATACATTATCCAAGTGTTAAGTTACTCTAATTAAATTGCACACTAAAAACTCCCAGCTCCCCAAGACAGCCAGGCTTCTGTGAGTATAAATTAGCACTGCCTTGAAGAACACTTTGGCGATGTCTCATGAATCTGGAGCTGCACTCGGCCTGTGACACAGCAGCTCTGCTCTTGGCTTGACATCCTAGAGAAGCACCAGCATGTGCACAAGGAGGCAGGCTCATTGGTGATAGTAAAAACCTGGAAACCAGTGCCCATCAGGAGAAGGGGCCAATTGTGAAATAGCCACACAGTGGAGTACAGTACAGCAGTGAAACGACTGGGCCAGGGCTACATGCCTCAACACAGATGAACCTCTTAAGCAGCATTGATGCAAAACAACTAACGTACAGTCCCAGTTATGCAAGTTCAAAAGCATGCGAACGTAGAGGTGATGGTTGCCCAACATTGTGAATGCAGTAAATGCCACTGAATTGTACACTTTAAAATGGTTAATTTTATGTTATGTGAATTTCACCTCAATAAAATTTTTAAAACATGAGAAAGGTATTGTCCTTTGACTCAGAATAATATATATACTATATAATTATATATATTCATATATTCATTCAATATAAATATATATAAACAAATGGGTGATAAACACTAAATGCAGCATAGTGGTTACCCATCATGGGATTGGGAAGCTTATACAATAAAAGAAAGATAACAGAGGAGCTTCATTTAATGATGTGGGTTTATATCTTCAGTTGGGAGTTGGGGACACAGATATTTCTTATGTTATTCATTATACCTTTCTACTCTATCTGTAATATTTCAAGATAAATTTTTTTTTTTTTTTGTCTGCATTGGGTCTTCGTTGCTGTGTGCAGGCTTTCTCTAGTTATGGCGAGTGGGCGTTGCTCAGCAGTTGTGGCGCAGGGGCTTAGCTGCTCCGCAGCATATGGGATCCTCCCGGGCCAGGGCTCGAACCCGTATCCCCTGCATTGTCAGGCAAATTCGTAACCACTGAGCCACCAGGGAAGTCCCAAGATAAATTTTTTTGAAAGAAAGACAAGCCCACATTTAAATTTGCATCACCTCAGTCAGTCTCCTTAGGGAGAGAGAGCCAAGGGATGGGGCAGTTCAGGGATGGAGGGTTGCCATGGTGATGAGCTTGCTGGGTGTCGAGGAGCTTTTTCTGCCTCCTCTTCTGGGCCAGCAGGCATTCCAGAATGATCCCTCCAAGCTGCTTTTGAGACATTCTCCAAGAGATGAGTGGTTTACATAGGTGAACTACTACATGCCCAACCCCTCCAGCCCCAGCTCCCCTTTCTCTGAAAAGCAGGTTGGGTGGCTGGGGGAGCTGAGGGGTCTGTACCAGGCCACGTGCCCTGTCCCAGCACAGCTGATGGTGTGATCCCTGCCGATCAGCCTTCCCCTCACCCACAAGGCTGCACAGGTGCACACAAACAGGCCATATGTTAGAAAGATGCTACCGTAGGCCTTGACTTGTTAGATGCAAACGAATGGTTCCTGACCTGGATAAATGAGCTTGAAATTTAAAGACACCAAAATGAATTACAGTCAATGTCTTGAGTTTTCTAGTGGAAGTTATGGAGCTACCTGTTTTCAAACTCTGCCCAGCATCTTGAGCTCACCCCCGGGGCCCTGGGCCACAGCTGTGACATGAGGTCGCTGTGGAGGTGTGGCCATCTCCTCAGGGTGTGGAGGAGTGTTGCTGGGCCTCTGCAGGGAGGGAGGGAACTATCCTCTGACTAACCCCACTAATCTCTGGTAATGATGTAATGCCTTACTTCTTCCAGTTAACACCTCTACATTAATAACCGAAGCCTGCCCGAGTTTGAGGCACCCTGCCTGACAAATAAGAGACTTCTTTTTAAAAATAAATTTATTTATTTGCTTATTTATTTTTGGCTGTGGTGGGTCTTCGTTGCTGCGCTTGGGCTTCCTCTACTTGCGGTCCGTGGGCTTCTCACTGCAGTGGCTTCTCTTGTTGCAGAGCATGGGCTCTAGGCGCGCAGGCTTCACTGGTTGTGGCACGCGGGCTCAGTAGTTGTGGCGTGCAGGCACTAGAATGCAGGTTCAGTAGTTATGGCTCACGGGCTTGGTTGCTCTACGGCATGTGGGATCTTCCCGGACCAGGGCTCAAGTCCGTGTACCCTGCACTTGCAGGCGGATTCTTAACCGCTGCGCCACCAGGGAAGTCCCTGGGAGACAGTTTTTAAGTCTGGAAGCTCTTTGGGTGCCTGAGGTTGCATCTGTGGCAGGGTGGACCCTCTCTGTCCCAGACACCTCATCAGATGGCCGCATCTTTGCTGTTGTCTCTAGCTGGACCTCACAGTTCTGTTACAGCCCTGCCACTGAGCTCCATTACAGGGCCTTTGAATTTGAGGTTGGTATCCTGAGACACAGGGAGGGGAGCCTGCCCATCCCCGGGTCACACACACACACCCAGCCCTCCTGCACCAACAGTGTCTGGTGTGACCTGTGTGTGCCCTTGAGACCACTATAGACAACTGGGGGTAGAAATGATGTGAATAAGCATCATTGTAGAGGCCTATTCTGTCTTTGCAGTACAACTGTATTTTTTAAAATATTGCAAATACCCCACGTGGTACAATAAATACATATTTTGTTTTTTGTGCAGTTCCTGGCACAAAACCCTTGGAATTTACTCTCTTTGTGTGCTAATGAGAGGACTCCTGGGGGAGCCCAAGCCCAAGTGTTGGGCTAGCCAAAAAGTTCGTTCGGGTATTTCCATAAGATGTTATGGAATAGCTTCCAACTCAACAGCTTCAGGACGGGATCTGGTCACCAGGAAAACCACACCTTTGACCCCTTAGAACTTCCAGCCCCACCCTCCACCACCACCCACCACCCGTCCCTCCCTCTGGAGAGGGAGGCCAGAGATCAATCAGTCACCAATGGCTAAGGACTTCCCTGGTAGCGCAGTGGTAGGAATCCACCTGCCAATGCAGGGGACACGGGTTCGAGCCCTGGTCCGGGAAGATCCCACATGCCACGGAGCAACTAAGCCTGTGCGCCACAACTACTGAGCCTGCACTCTAGAGCCCACGTGCCACAACTACTGAAGCCCGCGCATCTAGAGCCCGTGCTCCGCAACGAGAGAAGCTACCACAATGAGAAGCCCGCTCACCGCAACGAAGAGGAGCCCCTGCTCACCACAATTAGAGAAAGCCCGTGCACAGCAACAAAGACCCAACGCAGCCAAAAATAAATAATTTAAAAAAAGAATCACCAATGGCTAATGATTTAATCAATCATGCCAACATAATGGAACCTAAATAAAAACCCCGTAAGCAGAATTTGGGGAGCTTCTAAGTTGCTGACCACATCCACTTGCTGGGCACAGAGGCTCCTGCTCAGGACCCCTCTGGACCATTTTCATTTGACTGTTTGTAGCCTTTATAACATTTTTCGTAAGGAGAGCATCTTCCTGAGTCGGTGAGTTGTTCTAGCAAATTATCACACGTGATGGGTGGTTGTGAGCTGGGCGGCAGCATGGGCAGCAGCCTCGGCAGCCCGTTCTCAGCTGGCGTCTGAAGCGGGGCGGTCTTGTGTGGCTGAGCCCGTACTATGGGGTCTGCGCTAACTCTGGGTAGATAGTGAATGAACTGAACTGAGTTGTTGGACACCTCGGTGAGATTTGGTTGGACACCCCACATTTGTCTAACTCTAACGTTAACGCCAAGCATCTGCCACAGGTGACTGAGACGCAGTGCGATATAGTCAAGACACCCTTGCTGGAGAATCAGGACACCCTAATCCCAGCTCTGCTGACCAGCTGGTGCCCTCAGGCATGTGGCTTGGCCTCCTCTGCCCCCACTTCTGCATCTGTAAAAGGAGGGGGGTTAATAACTGTGGGCATTTAACACTAGGAATCTGCGTTTTGTTTTGTTTTTTTTGTTTTTTTGCGGTACACGGGCCTTTCACTATTGTGGCCT